TCCAACTCAAAAAAAAAAAAAAAAAAGTCAGCTGGAGTCACTTTAAAATAAATAAATAAATAAACTTTGGCAAGTAAAATAGCATCATCTAATAGCATATGTTTAGTACTCTAAAAATAGCAATAATAGTATTTGTTGTTATTTATAGCATGCATCAATTGAAAAATAAGGGATTGTTACATATTAAAAATATAGAAATGGCAATTACAATGTTTAAACCTTTACTTTTTTCTTATTTTACTTAGAAGGGTATGAAAGGTCAAATCATAAAATAAGAGAATATAGAATTATAAATGTAGCCTCCCGTTAAGTTTGGCAGTAAAATGATGATTTTTATCATTTTATGCATCAAAGTAAACTTTGAAATGAATTATACCTGAATAAAATAGAACCCCCAAATCTAAAATATTCTACTCATACATAAGCAAATAAATGGAAAAACTTAAATATTGAAACTAAGCATAAACAATAAGCTATTAAACTTCTAAGGAAAAAAACACTGAAGAAAATCTTCATTGTTGGAGTACTTTAAGATGTCTAAGAGGGACACACACACACACACACACACACACACACAAACTAACCACACAATATTAATAAATTATATTTTATCCAAATTAAATACTGCTTTTCTTAAAGCACTATTAAGGAAACTAAAAGCAAGCCACACACAATGCATATATCCAACTGTAGATGTTCATCTAAAATTACACAAAAAAGTGACCAGGCAGTATTATTTTAAAATTCATCAAATTAAAATATTACAAAATTATTTGAGCAGACGTCACAGAAGATATGTAAATAGTTAATAAGCACATGAAATGATACTAAAATCATTGCTTATCAGGGAATTCAAACTTAAATCCATTATGGCTACCACTATACACACACTGAAAGACTAAAAAGAAAAAAGAAAAGAATAAAGAAAAAAATACTAAAAAAGCAAACAAAAACTTACAGTACCAAAGTCTGATGAGCATATGTAACAACTAAAGAGTCACCGGGCTATACAAAAAAAAGTTCTCATATATAGTTGGTGAAAAGCGGTATAATATTATTTAAGTGCTTTAGAAAACTGGCAATGTCTGAGAAAAACAATTATATACTTAGAATATAACCTAACAATTCTGCTCCTCAGTATTTACTCAAGAGAAATGCAAATATATGTCTGCACGATGACACGTACAAACATGTACATAAATCTTTGTTACTAACAATCGCGATCTAGAAACAACCCAACTATTCAGTCATTGAACAGGTAAATGAATTGTGGCACATGCATAGAATGGAATACTACTCATCAATAACAAGGACTAAATCACAAATACATGCTACAACATGGATCAGTCTTAAAAACATCATGTTGAACAAAAAGAGTCAGGCATAAGAGTAACATGACACAATTTCATTCATATGAATTTCTAGAACAGCAAAACTAATTTGTACTGACAGAAATGAAGTCAGAGGCTGATTCCAGTGAGATATGGTAGATTGGGAAGAAGCATGAGAAAACTCTCAGTATGTTGAAAATGTTTCAATAATAAGGTGTTATTTCACCAGTGTATAGTGTATGCATTTCTTAAAACTCCTCTAGGCAAACTTTATATTTAAATTGGGTAGTTTCATTCTTGTTGTAATCTTTAAAAAAATTTTTTTTATTTTAAAGATTGGGATACAATTCAGGGTTAGGTATATAAATCATCATTATGCAGGAACCCTTGTTGATAAAGTGTACCCTCCCCTTCCCTGGCAGTTTCCCACTACTGCCAATCTCTTTCTTATAGTTTAATAATCATTCAAGGTCTGCTTATGAGTAAGAACATGTGGTACTCAGTTCTTTGTTTCTGTGATAGATCACTGAGTATTATAGACTCTAAGTCCATTCAATTTACTGCAAAGTTCATAATTTTGTCCTTATTTACAGGTGCATAATATTCCATTGTGTATATGTACCACATTTAAAAAAAAACCCAGTCCTCTTTCGATGGGCAGCACAGTTGGTTCCATGTTTTTGCTATTATGAATAATGCTGCAATAAACATGCGTTTGCAGGTATCTTGTTTATACAAGAAACAAAGTTCAACTACCTCTTAATTATTACCCTTCACACGAGGTCAGGTATGGAATTTTCCACTTGTGGTGTCATATCGGTGTTTTGGATTTTGGAACTTTTTGGATTTTAGCTTTACAGGTTAGGGATATTCAACCTGTACCAAAAATTTTTCTTGGATTTTCTTGTAGTGTTTGTAGCCTATTTATATAACACTGAACATTGTAATTAATAATCTGTTTAGTGATTCATGTTAGAAAAAAATGTGTAAAATTGTTATTAATTTGTATTAGCAAAGATTTTAATTTTAATATAAATTTTTATATTTATGTAACTTGGCCTCAAACAGGTTTTTCTTAAACCTTCAAACTTAATTCATTTATATGTAGTGTGAAATAAGAAATTTTTAAAAACATCTTTCTATCATAAATGTTTGAGTCTCTCACCTGTTTTATGATTGCCCAAAATTACAAACTCAGATCTTGGTAGAATTATATTTTGATATAATCTTGATAAAATATCAGTAAATAAATTAATATTTAAAAAAGAAACTATAATAAAATAGGCACAAAATAAAGAAGATCTGAACAAGATTCATAAATCTGAGTATCTATCTATCTACACCTGTCATCTCACAGCATTCAATAGATATTCTTTTTTAAGAGCACAGTGAAATCTTTACAGAATTATTCATGTTGGAATATATATTCTGTATATTCATAAAAGATAATTCCTAATTTTCTGTTCTTGCAATTTTTTCAGAAATTAGTTTGTAAGAGATTTAAAAATTTTTCTCTCTCTTTCTTTTTTTTTGTTTTGAGTTGGAGTCTCACTCTGTCACCCAGACTGGAGTGCAGTGGCCACTCCCGGCCACCGCAGCCTCGACCTGCTGGGCTCCGGAGATCCTTCCGCCTCAGCCTTCCAAGTAGCCGGAATTACAGGCGCGCGCTACCACGCCTGGCTGATTTTTTGATTTATTGTAGAGATGAGGTCTTGCTGTCCAGGCGGGTCTCGAACCCGCGGGCTCAGGCAATCCACTCACCTCAGCCTCCCAAAGGCACGGGAT